TAATTATTATTTATCGTGAAATATTATTTGAAGATCAAATCATAATTTATACTTAAATATGATAGATTTATAAATTTCAGATCTATTATACATGATAATAGGGATATGCTTGTGGTAAGAACTTCTATGGTTAAGATGGGTGTGTAAAATAGCGAATTGACTTGGGAGTACCATGCAATAAAAAATTTCTTAGAAATATATTTAAAAAATTACATTTAGATTGGCTATTTTGTTTGATAATAAAGAAATCCTTGATAACCACATTGAGTGTGGAAAAAAAAAAAGAGTGTGAAAGATGAATATATTTTAAAACCAAGGAGAAATTAAGGAATGGTATTATTATAGAGATGATAGGAGTAGTGCCTATTATAGACAAGGTAGTGAAAGATAGATTTAAGTGATTTATGCTTGCTCAATAAATGGTAGAGTGATGGAGGGGTTAATAGACTTTCTTTTTGTCTTCATTGTCATTAAAGGAGCATATTGGTTGAGGTCATTATGGGATTTGTGGGACTTGGGATGGTGCCTAGGAATTTTTTAAGAAAGTAAAAAAGTAATCATAGGATACCTTGAAAGAAAGAAGAACTCTTCATGTACTCCTTGAGAAGGATGGGAGGAAGAACTTCTTGTACACAGTTCGGAGCAATTCACATGCATAACTTGAATCAAAGGAGAAAGAAGCATTTAAAATCAATGGTCTTATTAAAATATTTTATTCATCAATCAATCAATTAACTAATATCTAAAAGTCTATACAACCAAACCCAAAAGTCTATACAACCATCCTTATTTATAAACAAAAATAAGCAACAAGTTAATATTAATATTATCCATTTCTTTATTACCTAAATGATGAAATTGTGCTTATTCTAATTACATTTAACATAAAAAAAAGAAAGTAAATACTAAAAATATGGCCAATATTAATGAATCATATAGAAAGGCTTGAAAACTGATTTAATTAAACTATAGTTAGCATTGTTTAACTTATTTTTGGTTAACCTACAAAAAATTTGATCCAATTAAAGGCTAAATTTATTGAATTGTTAACCAATCCTTATTGTATTGCGTCAATTCACTTGACTCGCAAAGATTACTTCTCTTGAAGAGTCTACATGGGAGTTCTAGGAGATTGTGGACTCTGTTCATGCATAACTTATTGAGCAATACAAACATCAATATGCATGAGCATTAGCAAGTTTGGAGGTTTCAGGGGAGAGCAACTCCAATCTATATGTACTTGGTAAGCATCAAGATCCTTGAGAGCTAGTTGAGGATCTGTTGGTTGCGGCAACATTGGAACAGTTGTTGTGTCATCATCAATGGGGATTACCATTATCTTAGAGTAGCTTGCTCCATCTCAAGAACAACATAGATTACTACAAAACCTACAAAGAAGTGTATTAAGTTCAAGTGCTTTTTAGCTTGGCCTACTAAACTCATTACAACAACAACAACAACATCAAGCCTTTATCCCACTACGTGGGGTCGGCTACATGAATCCTTTTTCTCCATTGTGTCCTATTAAAAGTCAAATAAATATGCCTACTAAACTCATTAATGAGAATAAATTTGTGATCCATCCAATAAATATGCCTAACGCAATAT